AAAAATTTTAATGCTTATCTTTAAAATATTATAAAAATATATAAAGTTTATTAAGAAAATTTTTGGCATTGGATCATACTACACGCCTTAATTGATTTTATTTTAAAATAAAATTGTTTTTTTAATACTTTTTTACCTCGTTCAATAACATTTCTTTGCATTTTGTATTAAAAAGAAAGGATACTCGTTAATCTTGTGTATTATTTATTTTGATTCGTTAAATCTCACCTTCGTTTGGAAACACGACGACCTGGTTGGTTTTCCCATAGAAGTTCTCTGCTGGTCTTTCTAAATCGGGTCGAAGCACGTTACCGTTGATTAAAGGTTTAGGCAAGGTCGACAGTGGCATCGAGACTTCGGGAGGTTTTGACAGTCGCAGCTTCTTCAGAATCTGCTGCTTAACGTACTCCACTCTCAGCTCGGTCAACAGCGGGTCAGAATCGATCACATTGAATTTATTTTGCGTGCAACCGGTGCAATCGTCCTCTTTGTTGATCGACGATTCGGACGACGAATGGGGTAGCAATGTGTACCATACTTTCATCAAGGGATTGATCGGCCATTGAGCCGTGATACCCCCTACGAGAAGAACCAGAAAGATTTCCATTAAGAGACGCATTTTTCCACAGCAATCCAGATAGAACTGATTCTTTTTTAATCCGAATTCTTCTTTAGTCTTTGATTTAACCACTTAGGTTAATCCGCTGATGATTTACTCGAGTTTAGTTATCGAGTTTAAACATCGAAAACAATTTACACGTTGATATTATCAACATTATTTCGTCGCTTAAGTTTAACACCAAGTTCGACACTGAATTCAATTAGTAAGTTGAATTCAAATATCTTCAAGTGTCATTGATCTTCATGATTTTGTAAATATACACATATTTATGACGAATGTTTCAAATTATATTTCAGTTGTTCTGGTATAGCGATATTTATAACACTTTCAAATTAAGTCGATTCAAACTGGCGATTTCTGTATTTCTTTCTAAATTCCAACAGGATTGGCGCGCAATTTGCACAATATCAATTTTACTGACAAAGTTGCAAAAGTCAGGCGGGTCACCACAATCTCCGAGTCGATATCTCGTGAGATAGCAAACCGCTTCGTCAATCGTGGCCTCGCTTCTTTCTTTTTTTTTCTTCACATATCCTTACGTATTATATTTCTCCATTCCAAACGTTAATCTGCGGAGTTGGCAATATTTTTCTTTATAAATGTAAAGGAAGACGGATATCTCTCTCTCTCTCTCTCTCTCTCTCTCTCTCTCTCTCTCTCTCCGATCCCCGAGAACAATTCTCCTCCTCGTAGTAGACCGACGTTCTTGACGGCGCGTTCACGAAGACTGGAGGTGAATCGTTACGATGGTCCAGTGATGTAGTTGACTCCGTATAGGCTGAACTTTGTTCCGCAGTTGCCAGGGCCAATACGGATCGGACGGGGACGAGTGTGATATCAGCGCAAGCACGCGCCGTGAACATGCTGTTGATGGGATTCCTTGTGGTCCATTGGCGGTTCCTAAAATCTCAAATCTGTCTTAATGGGCTGATAGGCTGCGAATTTATCTCCATTCTGGTGAAAGGTGTCCCGCTCATTGATTGACACAATCTCGGTGAACCGTAAAAGATTATTTTACCCGATGAGATCAATGCATCTTTTTGGTATGTTAGTAACGCTATTACAAAGGGAGATAAAGTATGTATACCAATGATGAAACGTCTTAAACCTCTTTCATAAAATACTTAATACATACAGATGTGCGAGGCATAGGTTCTTCAAAATTGATAAACAATTTCAATTTCTACTTAAATTTCAAATCTTTTCATCAAATTAATTTATATTTACACATTATATTATATTTAACATAATTTAAAAAATACTGTCTTTGTTAATATTATAGTGGAATCAATTTTGATTATTTTTCTGTTTCTGAAAAAGTAATGAATGTTTTTCTAGGACTTTTTGTATTAACAGGTATGCTTTTTACAAAAAATTTCAACTTTCAATTTTGAGAAATTTCGTTTTAAATTTTATGTGTAATAACGCAAATTCGTAATGTAGCTATGAGAAATTTCAATATATGAAAATAAATGTGATGCATAATAAGCCTCTATTATTTTGTATAATTTTAAGTAGATAATATTAAATCTATCACGATAAGTAACGCCGATATGAGCCAACATAGGATGTTCGAGTGTAAATTACAAAACCATTTATTGGAAAAGTGAATATATGTATACGTTTCAACCCTCGGTTCCGGTCCTTTTCAGTATAATAAACTTAAAACGTTGAAAACGCAAAAAATTAAAATCGCAAATTACTTAGGGAAAAACGCATTAAAAAGAGAATGCTCTAATACATGAGTTAATAGTCAATCTATTGATATGATTTCTGTGTTCAGAAATGCGTGTTTTAAGACATCTACTCGTTTGACCGACGTATAACGCGTTACATTTTTTACAATCGATTTTATATTATAAACTACATTCCTGATTGGAATGAGACGTAGGCAGAGTATCTTTTTGAACCTTAATAAACCTGCTCAGCTTGTTGACACCTCTATATGCCATGCGAACTAAAGGGAATTTTTTGATGAAATTCTTAATATCAGAAATCTTTTATCAGAATTCTTTTATCAGAAATAGAGGAAATGATAGGTACCGTGAAAAACTATTGTTTCTTTTATCGCTTCTAAGGTCTGTTCACTATGTTCGTAAGATTCAGATGCTATGTAGTTTAACTGATCAAACTTATTATGAAGTCTCATTTAATCGTTGAAAAGATTAAACGCAAGGAATAACTATTGATAATAAATTAAAGTAATAAAATTTATTGTGTGTGTGACAATATAAAAAATAATTACATCTACTTACAAGGTTTCTGTTTTTCAACACCTAACTGGTGATTCTTATGTATTTTACTCCGTAAAATAAAAAAAAAGTTATAGATTTTTTAATTTGCAGTTTTTCAAAAATAAAGTCCTTGATTTTACAAAATTTGTGTGTGTATGTGTGTGTACGAGATACAACTTTTTTAATCTTATAGTTTTTTTTAGTACCTAAAAATACATAAATAAAAATCACCATTCAGATATTGAGAAACAGAATCCTTGTGACATAGGGTAATTTTCAATTTTTTTTCTTGTTCTCATTATTGTGCAAAGGATACAATAGGCCTGTTCTTTTTGGTTGAACTTTTGCACCTGTTCATCTTTCTTCCTTTTCTCTCCAGGAGGAAAGAAAAGAAAGAAAGATGGACTGGTGCAAAAGTTCAGCCAAAAAGAACAGGCCTAATAGCGTTATGTGACACTATAATCGATTTTTAAACTTATAATTACACATATTTGTAACGCACCTTTAACTAAGGAAACGAAGCAAAGAATATTCATATCGCTTGATTGCACTCATTTGAGAGTGAGAGCTAGTAAGATGAATGTTTACCGCAAAAAGACTGACATACGCTCCGTAGACAGATTAATGTCAGCGTTTTTTTTGAGCTGAGGCTTGCAATTCGCGGTTCATCGGTACGTTCGCTTCTCGTGGAAGATGACCTATCTCGCTGACCTGGAAACGCCGAATGTATTTCTTTTTTCGTACGTATTTGAAGAACGATGAGTGCTTTTTGAGGCGCCGAGATTATTCATTTATCGAGTGCGACGTGTCATGATCTTTTTTGAGAGCGCCACTTCGTGGGGAAACATCGTAACGTAAAATACGCCTGCACTTCGACTCCGCGCACTCGTGCATTTAGTTTAATAAATCACGCGATAACGGTCTTTGTAAAAATAAAGCAAAAAGAAGCAATCGCAAAAAAATACTGCGTTAACCGCTTTATCGTTTCCTACTGTTCTTCGATATCATTAATAATTGTGGCAGTCATCGCTGCGCAGTGTTTCGACGTTCAAGCACGGTTCTTTTTTACCTGCTGTTCTCATTTCGCTGATCCATTGGACTTCATGGCTTGCAAATTAATACCTAGGTCCATGGTATTGAATTATTCTGTAATTTATGCCGGACATGGCTTGTGTAATCAGCAGTTCGTGCATGCGGCACTCATTTGTAGAATCGCTGCGCTTGTTTTGTGTTATCTTATTATCGGCCGTTATCGAAATATGTAATTTTTCGAACTGACGCACATAACGTCATTATTCAAATAATATATATAATAATATTTTATGCACGTCGTCTTATTGGGGAAAAAGTTCTATCTATTCAGCCGATAATATGGCAACGTGACAAATTGTGTTGATAAAATATTGACTGCATTTTAAATGTAAATCCATAACTCTCTCCATATTTTTGAAATTACGCCCATACATTTACGTTATGCGCTAGAGAGAGATTGCCAGGAAAATATGGATCAAATATATGTTAATATAAACAAACAGTTTTAATTTGAAGATTAATGCACGTATAATTAAATACTCTTTTATTAAAAATCATATATTTGCGTACATTTATTATGTTATAAGGAAAATACTCGAATTTCCATAAATACGATGGGTATCTTTCCGTTATTACTTTCTAACATTCAATAATAACATAATTACCTCATTATCTCGCAAAAAAATACATTTCAACAAATATATAACAAGTTCCTTCTTCGAGTTATCTCGAATATTATTATGTATTATACTCACGAATGTAACATGGATGAGGTCGCGCTAGAATCGAGCAAACTTTTTGACGAAAACTTTCCGGAGGATTTAATTTTTGACGCGTACAACGATATTTAACGCGATGTTGTCAAAGGTGGATTCCATGCGAATGGTCGTCAATAGCAACGTGGAAAACTTTGTTACTAATTTAAAATCGCTGTTAGTTGCGGATCCGCGCCTTCGTATAATGAGTAACGATGAAACAATAATCAGCGGTGAGATAATTAGAGAACTACTGCTCGATGCGCAAATGGATAAAAGTTGATTGTTTTGCGACGGTATCTGGAGCACGCGAAAAAATAATTAATTTAAAAACATTTCTGTGTTGTTTTATAAGGAGGCAAAGGGCAAAACAGCATGTGCAAAGCTAATGCATGAGAGTAACCTTGCATATTTTTTTTGTTTATCAATTTCAAGTGTTGTACGTTGTACCGTTAAGTTCTTAAATATCTAATTAAGATAAAAACGGAGGATGATAAGATGAGTTTTTTTTAAACTTAATTTCGATAAAGAAATGTTATAAATATTTTTTTATATATAATTTTTGTTTTTCACTTTTTTTTAAATCTGATTTTGGTAAATGGGATAATGTTGCTCGAAAGAAGAGAATTGATAAGAGATAAAACGATTACAATTTTGAAGAGAACGAATATTTGTGTAATACGATAGAGAAAACTGAAGAGGCGATTGTAACATCCGTTTTATATGTTATGAAGCGTACGTGATATCCTCGGTATTCACAGAAGCGATTCAATGGCTTGAGGTGAATCGCTCCTCTCGTTCAAAGATCACTTCATTGTCACGTTTCCTTTGCGTGGAAATACTTTGACAAGGAGTCGCTTAACGACGATTGGCAGGGTCGCTTTGTGAGTTCCTAAGTTTAAATCTGACAGGTCAAGAGGGCTAATGACTCTTAACAGAAATAATATCCATAACATTCATGCGCGATATCACTCCGTGAATTTATCATCATAATGTATCAAATTGAACATAACGTATCCCGATATGATAGAGAACATTTACGTATATTTACATTTATTATATTGATCTGCTCTTAAATGATTATTTTTATATCTGTCCTGTTTTATCAACTCATTTATTTATACCAATCTTTTTGCGTACGAAGGTAAATGTTTAAAAGTGATGATCCGCAAAAGATCGCGGTTTTTTTTAGTAATAAACAAAACTAGTTATAAAAAGATACGTACAAAATATTTTAAGAGGGGGGGGGCTTGTAGTTTTTGTGGGAATAAATTCTATTTCAAAAACAAAATATAAGTTTTATTTTTTATTGAAATGTGTGTGTGTGTGTGTGTTAATGTAAATTCTCTTAGTTTTCTACATTATCATCTACGTTAGTCAGAGAGAGATCTCGCTTTGCATGGAAAGTCGTCCCTAGACAGGGGGAGGTGGGGGGGACTTCATTTCGTGTAGAAAATCGTGCGCCCTGCAGGCGGGGAAGGTATAAGATAGTTTTTAATATTGTATGCAAGAGATAAGACGTTAATTAAAAAAATTTTTTTATTAATAACTTTTTAATGAATAATGAGCGCTGGCTAAAACTTTTTGAAGGTTACTCAGGATCATGACCTTGACAACATATGTCAAGGTCAAGGCGATCCGGATGGTCTTTCCTATATTGCATAATTACCAATAAATAATGAAAAGTAAAGAAAA